CGCCCCGGGACCACCGGCTGCCGGCGCGATGCCCAGGGCTCTGCGGGACATGGGGGCCATGCTCACCTGCCTCCAGCTCCTGCTGCTTCTCACCGGTGTAGAGCTGAGGCCCCACACATGGGATGAGGACAGGCTCCAGCTGGAAGCCATCAAAAAGGGGATCCTGGAGCGGTTGGGGATGCCCGCTCCCCCCGTGGTCCGGCACCGGCTGGACCGGGAGAGCATCCGGAGCGCACAGCGGCTGTACCGGCAGAAAGTGGCTGAGCTGATGGGGAACCAGAGCCGGGAGGAGGAGGGAGCTGTGCCTGGGACCTTGCACCTCCATCGCCTGACACCCACATGTAAGTGGCCGTGGCTCCAAGCACATCCCGTGACCCTCATCCCCCCCCCGGGGCACTTACACATGTGTCCCCCAACGTGTCCCCACTCGGGGATGCCAGCCCGGCTGCCTCGGCATGTGCCAGGACATGACCGGGCATGAACTGCAGTGGCCGTGGTCATCCTCGTCCTAGTGCCAGCTGCTTCCCTTGCCCTGGCAGCAGGGGGGAGCCACCGTTCCGAGCTGTTTTGCTTAAAAATGCAGAACCCAGTAAATTCGGGAAGAAAGCTTTGACCAGCATGGTGATGGCGGCTGCCGGTGCTGGGAGCAGGGTTTGAGCCAGCTTGGGGGTGAGCAGAGGGGAGGTGCCGACCCTCCAGCCCCAGCTGGCTGCTCCGCGCAATTGGGGGTTTTATCTGGATCAGGTGATTTAGGGATTTATCTGGCTCTGGGGTGATTCAGCTCCTGCTGCTTGGGCTGCAGGGGGACAGCAGGGGCACGGGGCAGGGGGACAGACCCTGCTGGGATCTGGGGGACCTGCTCCAGCACCAGCTCCCGCCCCTTGGTGAGACCCTCAGGCTGGGGGTCCCCAGGTCCTGGGTGATGCAGGGCTGAGGACGAAGTCGGATTTCCCCAGCCTCAGTATCCCTTGGGATTTGGGTGATTCCCCAGTGGCGGCAGTTTGGCTGCCCGACAGGAGCGGTCACGAGCCTTGGCTGGTGGGATGGATTGCTGGCTCTTACATCAGCTGTCCTCCCTGTCCCCACAGTGCTTCACCAGCCGGACATCCCCCAGGGACACCAGGACCCCCGGGGACACCAGGGCCCCCGTGGCCCCTACTGCTACCATCTCATCCTCTCCCGCACCAAAGCTTTCCACCGGCAGCTCCGGGTGGCCCGAGCAAAGCTGAAGCTCTTCAAGCAGTCGCTGTCACCCCCCAGCATGTCCCCACTCGACACCTCGGTGCCCTCCCGTGTCAGCATTTACACCCTGGGGGGGGCTCAGGGGACCCCCCAGCTCCTACATAGCCAAGAGCTGGACCCTGACACCCCGAGCCTGGACCTCACAGCGGCCATCCAGCCCTGGGTTGCCAGTCCCGAGGACACGCTGCGCCTGGAGTTGACCTTCACAGCTGACGTCTCAACCTTGTTGGACACCTCGGGAGATGAGACCCTGGTGTTGGAGGTGGAAACCCATGAGCCTGCGGGCCGCAGGGCCAGGAGAGCCCGGGGGCTGGAGGAGGAGTGCGGGAAAAGCGATGGGAAGTGTTGCCTCAAGTCGCTCAAGGTCTCCTTCCAGGACATCGGCTGGTCAGACTGGGTCATCGCCCCCAACAGCTACTACATGAGGTTCTGCGAAGGTTCCTGTCCCCACAACTACAAGCCGGCCAGCATGCACGCCCAGATCAAAGCCCGCATGCACTCCCTCTCCAAAGCCACCCCCCCGCCCTGCTGTGTCCCCGCCGGCTACGACCCCATGGTGCTGATGCACTACGATGGCGAGGGCAGGCTGGTCTCCACCCTCTTCGAGGACATGCTGGTCACCAGGTGCCACTGTGCCTGACAGCATCACCTCCAGCTCGCACCGGGACCTGTCACCGCCCAGATGGGGCAGAGCCTGCCCACCTTCCAGCAGCTCCGGCATCCCAAAAACCAGGCCCCGTGGCACAAAATGCACCTCCACACCCACCCTGGCTCCACTGCCCATCTCAGCCACAGGGTCTCCAGTTCTGAACCCCCTTCCACAGGCCACAATAACTTATTTTCCCCTTATTTAAAACCCTATTTTATTTGGTAGATGGATCTTTCCCACGCGAGAGAGCCCAAGGGGGCTGGGGTGGGTCTGTCCCCAGGTGGCCGCAGCCCACCCCATGTCTGAGCATCACCTCTTCTCTGCTTAGAGACTTATTTATACAACCCTCCTATTTATTGCTAACTTATTGTATTTTATAGCGAAATATCTTTTGGGGAAAGGTTTGGGGGTTTTTTTGTGTAGTTGTATTTTATATATTTCTATAAAACAGAGGAAATGTAATAATGTTAATTAATAAAGTGATGGGACCAGGGATGCTGGCTGCTCTTCCCACACGATTAGGCGGGAGTCTCCAATGGCATGGGGTGAGCACGCGTTCAACAGGGGGTCCCACAGCTCGGACCCTCGGTCCCCCTCCACAGGTGACCAGCCGGGAGCTGAATCCGTAAGGATTTGCCGGTAAATCCTTTGGGCTTTCCGGGGCCAGGCCAGCCCCATCCCCGCCCTGGCAGCGGCTGCCGTGGCAGGTGAGTAATGCCTGGGCGATGCTCCCAGAGACCTTTGAGTTGTTTGTGTCCTTGAGATGGGCGCTGGGCACAGCCTTGACCCTTTGGGCGAGACGTCCAGCCAGGACATGGATGCTGCCCAGTTTCCAGGTACCTCCAGCCATGGGACCCCGTGGACACCAAGGGGTGAGGGGAATCCCGGCTCCCTCAGGCTGTGCGGAGGTCGGTGGCACACATGGTGTCCCCAAGAGACTCGCTGCAGCTGGATGGGGTGGCTCTGCTGGTCACAGCTCCTCTCTGCTCTGTCCCCTCTTCCAGCACGTCCCGGGGATGTCCTGGGCTGTCTGGCCTCTTGGCAGCTCCCAGTGGGGACCTGGGCTTGAGGGATGTGGGATATGGGGACCTCCACTCTGGGGACAGGGCCTTTGGGGATCAGGGTCTGAGGGACATGGGATATGGGAGCCTCCACGCTGGCGATGTGGGCTTTGGGGAGCAGGGCTTGAGGGATGTGGGATAGGGAGACCTCCGCTTTGGGGATGGAGTCTCTGGGGACCAGGGCTTGAGGGACACAAGCTATGGGGTCCTCCACTCTGGGGACGTGGACTTGAGGGACCTGGGCTTCAGTGACCCTCACCCTGGGGACCTGGGCCAAAGGGACCTGGGCTCTGGGGACTTGTTCTTGAGGGTCCTGGTCCCTTGGCACCCCCGCTCTGGGGACAGGGGCTCTGGGAGTCCAGGGGCTTTCCTCCCAGGGACCTCCAGGGCAGCTCCTTTGGGTTAATGTTTACAGCTGCCCCTATGCTACCGACACCCCTTATCGGGGCTGTCAGTGCCATTAACAGATAACGAACCGTGGCTCTGCTCAGCCAGGGCCACCCCGCTGCTGCCAGAGGGACAGATCCAGCCCGGGAACGGCAGTGGGGCAGCCACCCTGTGTCCCTCCTGGGGCTCCCAGCAGACCATGAGCTATACAAGGTAATTTAAGATAATTAAAACCATTTAATGAGGCACAGTGGAGCACCAGAAGGACTGGAGCTCAGGGGACACATGCAGAGTTGGGGGGGAGCACCCACAAGTCCCTATGTCCCCAGGCTGCCGGTCCCCTTGGGGTGCGCAACCTGGCAGCAACGGGCTCAGGGATATTGCCGGGAGCATTAAAAAAAAGGGGCTTTTGCTCTGTTCCCCAAACTGGTAAATTTAGCAGGAAAAGGGGGGGTAGCAGGCAACAGTGGGGTTGGTCCCAGTGCCCGGATATCCCCAACCGCCTGTATGTCCCCAGGCGCACGTGCACCCTGACATCCTCCATCGGCAGTCAAAAGAGGAGCGTGCCGTTGCGTGCCTGAGGTGTCCCGGCAGTCGGTGGCCGCTGGCCCCAGGAGGAAGCGCCGGCCCTCAGCCCTCGCCCTGCTGTGGGAACTGGGGCGAAGGAGGGGGCTGGGGTGGGGGAGGATTAAAAATACCCCCCCACACCCCCCCGAGAAAGGCAGCCCTGGCCAGATGCATGTGTGGGGACCACGCGTATCCCCCTCCCAGCTCTGGGGATAGCCACAGAGCCTTCATCCACGGGGAGTGCCCATCCTCATCCCCTCTGGGCTGGAGGGCCACCAGGGAAAGCCCTGGGGAGAAGCATGGGTGGGAGCCAGAGCTTCACCCCCCGGCCCCCCCAGCCCCCTCACTGGTCAGCGATGATGTAGAGGTTGTCCTCGCTGGGGCCCTGCATGTTGGCGTAGATGGGCTGGTCCCCGAGGACGGCCTCGCTCCCCAGGAAATAATCGTCATCCACCGGGACCTGGGGGCTGGAGGACACAGAGGGGTGGCACCCGCCACACTGTGCCCAGGAGGTGGGGTGGGTCAGGGGGGGCTCGGTCCCTGACCAGGGAGCAAACACCATGGGGAGGCTCTGGGGGTGCGGGTAGGGGGAAAGGGCTCATTCCCAGCGAGCACCTGGGCCTTGGGGATGGTGGGATGGGGTGGCATGGGATGGCACGGGGGGCATTGTGTGGGGTGGCATGGGATGGGGTGACATGGGACAGGACAGCGTGGCGCCAGGCAGCATGGGATGGGGTGGGATGGGATGGGATGGGATGGGATGAGGCAGGATGGCATGGGACAGGACGGGACAGGATGGGATGGGACGGGACGGGACAGGACGGGACAGGACGGGACGGGATGGGATGGGATGGGATGGGACAGGACGGGACGGGACGGGGGAGGGGATGGGAGGGGACGGGACGGGACAGGACGGGACGGGACGGGATGGGATGGGATGGGATGGGATGGGATGGGATGGGACAGGACAGGACGGGACGGGACAAGATGGGACGGGATGGGATGGGATGGGACGGGAAGGGATGGGACAGGACGGGATGGGATGAGGTGGGACAGGATGGGACAGGATGGCATGGCACGGCACAGCATGGCATGGGACAGGACAGCACAGGACGACATGGCACGGTGCAGTACAGCAGCAGAGGTGACGGGACATGCCCCGAGCAGCCGGGCCCCAC